CAATGTTTGGTAAGCTTCAAAATTGTAGAGAAAAAGCATGAATTTAGTCCAATATGAACGGCAATACCATTTACCAGTGGCAACAGTATGATAAATTACCATATGGTAAGTCTAAATGATAATATGACAATACCATTTAGACCTGTGGTACGGTATTGATATTGGAGGTCATTACCATTTTTACCATATGGTTAAAAACAGATTTGAAATCAAAGTTTCTCTCTCAAGGTGAGAAGAGAAAGAGAGTTTCGTCTATTTATAGTTGCATTATACAGAAAATAGCATGATTTAAGGTATGATTACAATATATATTTGCAACGGCTATATCTCCAACGGTTGCATTTTACAATTTCTTTGATTGTTGATTTTCCTCCAAAGCATTATTGCCATTTGATCTGTTTCCTTCTGCAGGTTCTACAATGCCATTTGATTTGTTTCCTTCTGCAGGTTCTACAAAATGATCCTCACAAGTTGAGACTTTATTACTCCCCCTCAAATTGGGCAGTGGTAGAGACACAAGACCCAATTTGCTGCGGAGTCGATGAAAGCTGTCTCGAGTCAATGGCTTTGTAAAGATGTCAGCTAACTGTGAGGTAGAACTAACAAACCAAGTAATAAGGTGACCAAGAGCAACTTTCTCTCTAACAAAATGATAATCAATTTCAACGTGTTCGGTGCGGCTATGAAAGACTGGATTGAATGTCATATAGATTGCACTCAAGTTGTCACAATGAAGAATAGGGGCGTTGTTAAGAGCCACTCCAATGTCACGAAGAAGGTGTGCAAGCCAAGTGATTCCAGCAGTTGTTGAAGCCATAGATCGATACTCTGCTTCGGCACTCGAATGAGCCACTGTAGGTTGTTTCTTTACACACCATGAAATGCAGTTGCTTCCCAGGAAGGTACAATAACCAGAGGTGGAACGGCGGGTCAAAGAACACCTAGCCCAATCAGCATCTGAAAAGGCATACAAGTCCAAGGAACTTTGGTTAAGAATTTGTAAGCCATAATTGAGAGTCCCATGTACATACCTTAATATCCGCTTGACGATTTGGTAATTTCCAATTGTAGGAGAATTCATGAACTAACAAACATAATTGACTGCAAATGAGAGATTTGGTCGAGTAAATGTGAGGTATTGCAGTGCCCCAACAATACTCCTATAATGAGTTGGATCATGAAATGCATCATTGCTAGAATGTGAGGAACGTGCTTTAAGCGCCATAGGAGTGGAGATTGAGTTGCAACCCTCCATTTGAGCTCTGGATAGAATGTCTAGTGCATATTTGGATTGAGATAGAATCAAACCAAGGCTTGTGAAATGAACTTCTATGCCAAGAAAGAAATTGAGACGACCAAGATCTTTAATAGCAAATTCTTGACCAAGCTGAGAGATAAACAGCTCAAGAAATTCAGAGTTATCTCCTGTTAAAATCATATCATCCACATAAATAAGAAGAAGTAAAGTCCCCCTATTTGAATGACAAATGAAGAGAGAGGGGTCTGTTGTGCTGCAAAAAAAATCAATGTTAAAAAGGAATTTGCTAAGTCTATCAAACCAAGCACGTGGTGCTTGTTTCAACCCATATAAAGCACGTTTTAATCAACAAACATGAGTTGGGAATTAGGAATCCAGGAACCCAGGTGGTTGCTCCATATATACTGGCTCATTGAGATATCCATGTAGAAAAGTGTTCTTCACGTCCAGTTGTCGGATTTGCCATTGTTTGGTTGTTGCAATTGCTAATATAGTACGAATGGTCCCAGCTTTCACCACAGGGGAAAATGTTTCAGAGAAATCAACACCGGCTGTTTGATGAAATCCTTTGGCAACAAGACGCGCCTTGAGGCGCTCTAGACTCCCATTAGCATGTAATTTTGTTTTGAACACCCATTTAGATCCAACAACATTCAATCTTTTGTACGAGGCACAAGGTCCCAAGTATCATCTTTTGCAAGTGCTTCTAATTCTTCATGCATTGCAATGGTCCATCCTTGATGTTTAAGTGCTGATTGAACTGACTTGGGCTCTATTGGAATGCTTGAAATTTTATGCAATATATGTAAATTTGCATAACGAGGATTTGGTTTAAGGATACCTTTTTGTGATCGGGTGACCATTTGGTGTTGCCGTGTGTTTGCTGCCTGGACTGATAATGGGTTAACCATCTCAACTGATGTAGGAGAGTGATTTTCTTCATTTGTAGTGTTTGCATTCACTCCACTGTCCATTGGCAGATTTTGCACCAAATTTCCATTTTCATGGCCATCATTAATTTGCACCAAGTCATCATTTTGATGGTGATTATCAATGGATCGGATGGAATCAACTAAATGTGATTCAAGTTCTTCATTCGGTTGATGATCATCAATTTCGACAGTTTGTGCCCTCGAGTCAAGAATTTCTCTGGAGTCATTAAGACTTGACTCTTCACTGCAAGCTAATTTCCCTTGTTCTATGGTCGGTGCAGCACATGGAATAGAGCAACTCTGTTTTTCACCATCACCTGCAGTACTTAAAGAATTTTCATCAGCAGTTATCCAAGGATGGAATGTTGTTACCTCAGTTTCAACATCCGGAGTTGCATAAAGCAAGGTCGGATTTGTGAATGGCAGGCATGATTCATCAAAGACCACATGTCGAGATATGTATATTCGGTTTGTTGGAGGATATAAGCACTTATACCCTTTGTGCTTGGTATTGTATCCAATAAAAATGCAAGGCAATGACTTTGGCTCCAATTTATTCTTCTTGTAGTCACCTAAGGAAAACATTTGCAACCTAAAACTCGCAAGGAGTTATAGTTAGGATGTTTGCCATAAAGCCTAAAAAAAGGAGAATCCATATTTAATTGTTGTGAAGGTAAACGATTTATAAGAAATACAGCTGTAGAAAAACAATGGACCCAAAGTCGAGCAGGGAGTTTTGCATGGAACATCATTGTTAGTCCCAACTCCGTGATACTTCGATGCTTTCTCTCAGCAACTCCATTTTGTTGTGGAGTTTTTGGACATGCTAATTGTTGTCGAATCCCTGAATCATCCAAAAGTTGCAACAATCTTTTATCTGCAAATTCACCCCCTTTCGTCAGTTTGAAGAATTTTAATTCGTTTATTAAATTGGCGCTCAATAAATTTTTGAAAGTGCACAAAGCAAGCAAAGAAATTTGACTTTCTTTTAATAGGATAAAACCATGTAAATCTAGAAAAACCATCTACAAAAATTACGTAATATCGATGATTTTCAAGGGACTTTGTTGGAGCAGGACCCCAAAGATCACAATGAATTTTTATAAAGGGCTCATCACATTCATCATCAGCTTGAAGAAAAGGAAGTCTACAAGATTTACCCATTTGGCCACTATCACAAATAGAGTTAGAGTTTGAATCTAAAGTGAAATCAATAAACTTTTGCTTAAAAAGAAAATTTATAACACGATAGTTTGGATGGCCAAGCCTTTGATGCCACCCTTCTTTATTTGTTCTTCTAAACCGAGTGGAGAAAAGTGCCCTATGTCCTTCCTCCAAAGCATCCTCTAAAGCATATAGACCTCCAGCCTTTTTTCCAAAAGCAATTACCTTGTTGGTTCGCTTGTCCCTAATAGAAAAGCCATTTGAGTCAAATATGAAAATATATGGCATATCAGTAGTAAGTTGACTAACTGAAATTAAGTTTTTTTTTAATATCAGGAACAAGTAAGACATTTTTCAATGGAATTGAGTTGTCACCAAAGGCAATGTTAGAATCACCAATATGAGTAATATTTAATACTTCACCATTACCAACCATAACAGCATCTTGGCCATGATAAGGTTTTAAGTTATTTAGCTTACTAGAATTTCCTGTCATATGGACAGATGCACCTGTGTTTGGATGCCATTCAAGCTCCTGATTGTCATCAATGGTGATGGCTGCCAATGCCTTTGGAATGTCATCTTCTTGATATGAGTGATTAAATCTGTTGAAGCACTTCATAGCAGTATGATTGAGCTTTCCACAAATTTGGCATTTGACTGCACTCTCCATGATGGGATTTTGAGCTTCAGCCTTCTGTTTGTTGAAGTTGTTAGGCTGATTCCTCGTAAAGTTAGATCCAACATTCCTATTACCTGCATGAGAAAAGTAGTTTGCACTAGCACTATTATAAGTGTTGTTAGTTCCATTGCCTTGAAAGAAACCTTTTCCTTGAAAGAAACCTTTTCCTTTTGAGTTGAATTTGTTGAAGCCATTTCCTTTCCTCTTGTTTTGGTTTCCATTGGTCCTTTGTCCGTAAAAGGTCACTTGAGGATGATTATAATTGTCAAACCCATGGATTTGGTTCCGAGTCTCATGACTTTTGAGAAGAGATACAACTTCTTGGTATGGAGGAACCGGAGGTTTCAACATGGTTGTCACAAAGTTCTCATAGCCTTGGCCAAGTCCTTGTAACACCCAAAAGGCTTTGGTTTTGTCTGGTATTGGTTTCCCCATAGCAGCAAGTTCATCACAAATAGCCTTGAATTTTCTTAAATATTCAGTCAATGAATCGTTACCTTTCCGCAATGTGGTCATTGCTTTTGTCAAATTGAACTCTTTCTCTTGAGAGTCTTGGGCATAAGCTTCTTCTAATGCATCCCAAACCTCACGAGATGTTGTGAGTCCCACAACGATTCCAAGCACTTCTTTAGAAAGAGTGCCAGTGATCCATCCATATAGAAGACGATCAGACCGCCTCCATGAGATATAAGCCAGGTTTGGTACCTCTTTGGGTCCCTCAGCATCAGTACTGTCAGTTGGGGTGATTTTGGCTACCGGCATGACATACTCTCCATCTAGGAATCTCTGCATGTCTTGGCTTTCAATTAAGGCGGCCATTTGAGTCCTCCATAATAGTTGGTGGGAGTAAGTCTTAGGGAAACAAAGTTTGACACATTGAGGGTAAAAGGATATGGGTAGCTACTGTTTTGAGATGGGGCCATTACAGAATGGGAACAAGAGAATAGGAATAAAATTGAAAGAAACTCTCTGATTCCTCAC